GCACACGCCCCTCTTGCAGAAGTCAACACAGGAATGAATGTTAGAGAACATTTTTGTGAGCTTGGCAGGCTGGATTGCTGCCCAAGCTTGTCTGTGCCGGTTTGCTGCCAAGGACCTGTCTGTCTGTTAATTAAATGCTGTAACTTATCTTTGGCTTGGAGTGTGTGTTGGTGTGAGACGAGGGGGATCAGAACATGTATGTATATGTATATGTATTCATAGATTCTCATGGGTACAGGTATGCAGTCTTGGCGTGTTTGGGTCTTTTCCCATGTAAGATTGAGAGTATCTTGGTGATGTTTTGACGAGGTCCCACTCGCCATCTTCAGGCTGGTGCCTTTGGCTTCGTGCTTGTGCGAGCAAAGCGGGAGCTCCGATCACGCTTTGCTCGCACAAGCATGAAGCCGAAGTCACCAGCCTGAAGTTGGCAAGTGGGACATAAGGCCACAGTTGAATTCTGTTCAAGTGCTCTAAACTTTAAGAAGCCATGATTTAAAACATCTCATGCCTTAGTGTAGTAAACAAATCCAGTTTTACCCTCTTTGAAGGCAGTACAGGTGGTCCTCATTTAGCAACTGCCTTGTTACAGTGACTGTTTGCAGTTGCAGTGATGAAAAAGTAATGCTTCAACTAGTCCTGGCATATATGGCATCTGCAGGTTTGTAAAACAAAAGAAATCTGAAGTAAAACCTTAAAGATAGTCACAATTTTACTTAGGGACATCTACAGTTAATAACCACGTTGAGTTGCTAAACCAGGACTACCTGTATTTTGGTCTGCTTTAAATAGAAGGATCCAGAAAAAAATGTAAGGATTTTGGATATATAGGTAGTCCTTGACTTATGACCACAATTGCACCTAAAATTTATGTTGATAAATGAGACATTTGGTATATGAGTTTTGTCCCATTTTATGATTTTTAGTGCCACAGTTGTTAAGTGAATCATTGCAGTTGTTAAGTTAGTAACATGGTTGCTAAGTGAATCTGGCTCCCCCACTGATTTTGCTTTGTCAGAAAATTGCAAAAGGGGATCACATGATCCCGGGGCGTTGCAACCGTCATAAACATGAGTCAGTTGCCACCCAGCATCTGAATTTTGATTGCGTGGGGATCATGGGGATGCTGCAATAGTCATGAGTGTGAGAAAGCTCATAAGTCCCTTTTTCCAGTGCCATTGTCATTTTGAACAGTCACTAAACGAACTGTTGTAAGTCAAGGACTGTGTGTATCTTACTCTTAAAGCAGTTGCCTAAGTTAAGAAAGCTGAATACATCGGATCTCTCTTGCTATTTTGGCTATTAACAGTGCTTATTTCTGTTTCAGGGAGTGAAACCGTTGGACCTTGGCATCCTTTTAAACTTATAAATTGGGACCCACCATCCCTTCCAACTCCGCATGGATTAGCTGATGCAAGAGGAGAGCCTTCTGCTGGCTTCCTACGTTCTACCTCCCGTTCTGCTCTTGCGTTTGCGATGGGTTGGTTGCTGATCTGACTTTAAGAGGCACCGAATCATGAGTCTTCAGGCTCAGCCAAAGTCTTCAAACAAGAGAGCTGGAAAGCGGGTTGCATTTTTTAATGAGCAAGATGCTCTCCTGAAGGAAGCTCACCAGCAGCAACAGCAGCAGCAGCAGCTAAAAGAAGGACAGTATTACGGCCACGGAGGGAATGTGCCTCCCACCCAGGCCATGGAGCTGACCAAGGCTGGGGTTTTCAGCAGCATTCCCAGCAATGCTGCGTTGCTGAATTCAATGTATCAGGACAGAGGGGAGGGGAGGTTGACACCCCACCAAGTGGCTGCTGCCAAGTGGCAGAATTCCCTAATGGGAAACCGGCTGCCTGAGCGAAGTGAGGCAAATTGGCAGCCTCAGCCCGGTGGGTGGAACCATGGCATAGTTTATGGTGGCAACCAGAAAGGAGGACATCCTAATGCCAGCATTACAGATTACTATGGCCACCCAGATGCCCTGAAAAGAAACAGGGAGAAAGGGGGAGTGGTATCACAGCTGAACTTGTATGGAGATGCTGTCCAGCAGATGCTATCTCAAAAGGCCCAGTTGGAACAGCAAGCGTTGGCCAGGCAGCAAGCCCAGATTACCTCTTTCCAGCAAATGCAGCAGCAGCAACAGCAGCAGCAGCAGCAGCAACAAAATCAAAGCCTCTCTCTGCAACCTTTTCAACTGGCTTTTGGACAGCAGGGCCAGAAGCAGGGTCTTCCTGAGTTATTGCATGTTCTTCAACAGGCTCCCACATCTTCCAGCCAGGCTTTCACTGCCCAGCAGAAACAGCAAGCTCTTCCACAATTGCAGCTGTTTGAAAACTATTATTCCCAACAGCAGCAGCACCATCACCACCACCAACAGCAGGCAGGAGTGCAAACTTTTGGCCTTCAGCCATCGGCTTCTGTGCCACAGACACATCTGGGAGCACCTCCTCAGCCTGTTCAACATCATATGGTTTCCCATCAGTTCCACCCAGTTTCTGAGAGGAATCAGGAGTTGCTGAAGGCTCTGACAGAACAGAACCCCCAGGCGGTTCTACCGCAGGCACAAATCAATCTCCCAAGGAGATCACGCAGGCTTTCCAAGGAAGGTGTCCCACCAGTACCTTCTGGAGAAGAAACGCTGGTCTCCAAGGCAGTTGAGAACTACCCTGGGAACATTGTGCCAACCCACCCCTGGCCATCACAGCAACACCCGGAAGTCCAGTTCCAACCTCAGTCTGAAATGTTCAGTCACAAAGAAAGTTATTCGCAACTAACTAGGGCAGAACTAGAGCGTGGAGATATGCCATCGGGGAGTCAACCGAGCCAGCCTGACATGGAGATGATGGGCATGTATGAGAATGCCCAAGAAGCAGGAAAGCAGGTGGCTGCCACTGATGGCATTGGTCCGAGAACAAACGACTTTGGTGCAGTTAGAGGAGGAGTCATCCAGAGTACCCGGAGGAGACGGCGTATTTCTCAAGAGGCCAACCTCTTAACCTTGGCTCAGAAAGCCGTCGAGTTGGCTTCTCTTCAGAATATCAGGGTAAGTGATATTTCTTGACTTGTTCTGTGACTGTTACTCTTCTTCATTTCCTGAAGGGCTGGAAGTAGCTGGCAGCCACTTTATTTGTTTTCTTCAGAGATGTGTCTTCACAAACCTTTATCTCATTTTCAGAGGTTTGTTTTTTGTTTTCCTCACATACCATATTTCTAGCAATCGAAGGAGAAGAGAAACACATGCATGCAATACTCAAATTGACAAGGATAGTTGGTGTATTTCAGTGGTTTTCATGCACTTGGCATCGTTAAGATGTGTAGACTTTTCAACTCTCGGAATTCTGAGAGATTGAAGGCCACGCATCTTCAAAGTACCAAGTTTGAAAAACACTGGTCTATCCCTTCCTGCGAATTTGTATTCTGCGGAATACAAATGGACAGTCAACTTAAGAATTGCTGCCTGAGAGGAGCATCTTTCTGTTCTCTTTCTCAAATCAGTTACACCATTTATATGTATAAATAGAAAGAAAACACATTTGGAGAGTAGAAATGAAAATCTACAATCCATCTAATGGATTTAGACTGAGCACTTATCAGTCTAATTGACTTCAGTGGTCCATAATTTCTGCCATGCTAAGAATCTTTGCATATTAGTCCACAGACGAATAAGGGACTTGGAGGCCCAGAATCATTAAGTAAGAAAGGGCCACTTAAGCCAAGAAGTCCAGTTGCCTGCTTGTTCCCAACAATAAGTTGGCCAACAATAGAAAGAGAACGTTGGTCCTTACTTGAACGTTCGTTTTAAATAGAATTGAGGGAGGGGGTCACTGCTGATCACCAAAGCCTGATTGGTCCAGAGATTGAGGGAAATTTCTTTTATGTTTCGTCATTCCCTGTTGGTTCCTGATTTCCTCGAAGTCACAGTACGAATCTGCAAATAAACAAACAGACCACAGACCACCCTCCACCTGACTAGTTGACTAAGTCTTATTCGGAAGGTATGTGACTCCTTCTGAGATAAGGACCAATATTCTTTTACCAGTAGAATTGAGGGAGTGGTCACTGCTGGGACATACCCAAGCTCAGTCCCAGGGAGGGACTAAGACCCAGGGGGAGGGGCAGTTGCTACCTGCTGAAGAACTCTGCACCCAAAAGACGCGTCAGCAGATGCGAAGGAATCTATTCGGTAATGTCGTATAAAGGGAGTTGGTGACGATCAGGTGGCTGCCCGACAAATGTCCTTGAACGGGGCCCTAATAGCCCACGCTGCAGTAGTAGTGGCACTCTGCGTGGAGTGGGCCGTGATTCCCACAGGAGGAGACTGGTCTGAGCACTCATAGGCAGTGGAGATTGATTGGCGTAACCACCTGTCAATAGTGGCAGATGAAACCCTAGCTACCAGAGAACCTGGCTGAAAAGAAATGAAGAGGACCTCAGTCTTGCGAAAGGTTGCCGTACTCCGGAGATAAATGTGCAGAGCACGGTGGACATCCAAACGATGCCAAAGGCGTTCCCTCTCGTGGGAAGGAGCAGGATAGAAGTTGGGAAGGATGACTTCTTGGGCCCGATGGAAAAGGGAATTGACCTTTGGGACGAAAGTAGGGTCCAGGCGCAGGACCACTCTATCATAGTGAAACTGACATAGATTGTCCTTGGACGAGAGGGCCCCCAACTCAGAAATGCGACGAGCAAAAGTCACCGCAGCTAGGAAAGCTACCTTGAGAGATAAGAAATGGAGGTGGATCATCCGTAACAGTTCAAAGGGATCCCCAGTTAGAGCCCGCAAAACCAGGGGCAGGTCCCACGTGGGGAACCTATGGATTGGAGGGGGCCTAAGGTTGGCTGCATCCTTTAAGAACCTCTTTATCAAAGGAAAATGGGAAAGGGGGGGAAGTTCATCTCCAGCGAGGACCGATGACAGAGCAGCCACCTGACGTCTCAGGGTATTATGGGAGAGACCTCCATCTAGACCTTTCTGCAAGAAGTCTAGGGCCTGCGCAACCGATACCTCGGTCAGGCAGGTACCCAGAAGGGAACACCATTTGGTGAATGTTGACCACGTCGAATTGTAGGTTCGTGTGATAGACGGTCGCCTGGAGGCCTCGATGGTTGCTATTACTCGGGAGGAAAGGTTAGCATTTCTCAAGAGGTGCCACTCAAGTGCCAGGTGGTCAAGTGGAGCCACTGTAAATTGCCATTATACAATCGACAATCTCCCAAACTTGTGGGTCTTAACGTTTTATGATAATAAAAACACATGACACCTATTTATATTCTCCCCTATGAGAGCCAGTTTGGCACAGTGGTTATGTACCAGGCTAGAAATGCGACAGTAAATTCTATTCTACCTTAGGCACAAAGCCAAATGAATGAGCTTGGGCCACTTACTGTTTCTCCATCCCAGGAACTGGGCCGTGGCAAACTATTTCTGAAAAATCTTGCCGAGAAAACTGCAGGGACCAGTCCAGCTTCCTCAAAGCCCCCACCCCCAAACAATCTCATACTTTGAAATTTTGGGCTCTATGTTTAGTTGCAGCCAGAGAACTAATTACATTCTCTATTCCATTTCTTTTTGTGTATTTTAAACAAATTGTTTGATGAAACATTGAAACGTTACACAATCTTTCGCCATATTGAGGTAGCCACAAAACTTCTTTTTTTAAAAAATTATTTTCTTTCTGACTTTTTTGGTTTTTTTTAGTGTCTACCTTGCTCCCATTTTTTAAAATTAAAATTGGGGAACAAGTCCCAAACAGTTTGGAGAAAATTTTTAGTTGGATTTCTCAGGAATACGAGCTAACATATTTTTCATTTTAATTGAAATTAGAAAGGCTTCTAAATCTCCCTTTTTTGTGCACTCATTTTTTAAAGTTTAAATAGTTTTGCTAAGGATAACGAACTGCCAAAACAGAGTACCACATGCCAATATTCCATTGATTTCAGAAGTACGCTGTTTCCCTGAAAATAAGACCTCCCCTAATAATAAACCCAAGCAGGCTTTTGAGCACATGCACTAAAATAAGCCCTCCCCTGAAAATAAGCCCTTTGCAGCACAGCAGAAACTATGAGGTGACCACGCTCATCACCACCTGCACCTCAAAAATAATAAGATCTCCCCGAAAATAAGGCCAAGTGCTTGTTTCAGGGGTCAAAAGAAAATAAGATCCTGTCTTATTTTCAGGGAAACATGGGTAAGACCCCTTTTCTTTAACAATACACTAGTAACTCAAATGGTTTCAATACTTTGATTTAAAGAGCAGGTCTTTGGAACCATGATAATTGAATTTCTCTTCCCTACTGCTCGAAGATTTGTTATGCATTTTCTTTAATAGAATGCAAACTTTCAGATAGCTGCCATATTTATGGTTATGTTTCATCTTGTCTCTAGCATGATCTCCAAGCACATAGGATAATATATTCCTAATAAAAAAAGAAAAATGCACACAACTCAGGCTGTGTATAATATATAACTTATCTGTGATGCTGTTTTGGGGGCTGATTGCTTATACTGTATTAGTCAGTCTCCAAAAATCTTGGCTGTGCTAGTAGGAAATTATGAGAGTCTTATTTCAGAATTGCTGCAATACAACAAATTGGGAAAGATGGCATAGACATAGATTTCATGGGGTGTTTGGATGCGATAAGAGGAAGACCTGGATATTCCATTGTGTGTAACACTGGTGCATTGCATAATAGTATATCTTACTCTTTGGTCTGTATTGCATTGCTTATAAATAATTCCAATATAGCGTTCCAAACATTTCTACATGTTCACCCACTTATGCATAAAACGATATGATTTTTGTTTCCATGGTGAAATTATTTCTTTCCTAGAAGAGTAATTTCAGAGTAACAGCTCTCCTGCACACCAGCATTGGCTAGATTCACTTAACAAATGTTGTTGGAAGTTTCTGGCCATCACCTTTTGTTGGGCAAATAAAAGGATAAAGTGCTGCATACGTTTGAGGCTTGCAGTTGCTTGGGTGCATACTTGTAAAATGGATTACTTTGCTTGACAAATTAAGCCCAGCTTTAAGATAATTTCAAACTAGATGCTGAAGGAGAAAGCATTTTTATTTTAGGCATGTTGTGTGGAAGGGTGCAAAATTTTGGAAGCTGCATTGAAAGTTATTTATAATGTAGTTCGAGCCAGATCAAAGCTTGGGTCATCCTGATGTTGGATGTTTTTCATTATACACAAAGGGGCGCTTATGCATTAATTTTCATTTGAAAAGCACCAGATATGTACTATTGACATTTGCCTGTGCCACTCTCCACTAAAATGATACAATCTAAAAGAATATTCCCAGAATACTCAATGAATCTGATAAAGACATCTGGAGAACATCTAGGGAAGGAGAGTCTAAATGCACACCCAAGCTTTTTTATACCTTCCAGAGTGCCATCTACTGCCAGCAGCCCTAGGAGAAATATTTCACAAGGGGAAAATAGGAATGTAGATCATTTTGGGAAGTCCATCCAGGTTTCCCCTCTTCATGGAAAAGCTGTCTCTCACCAATGAATTTTATTTTTTTATTTACAGGATTCAAATAGCCTCCTTACTCTTAAGGTAAAGGTAAAGGTTCCCCTTGCACATATGTGCTAGTCGTTCCCGACTCTAGGGGTCGGTGCTCATCTCTGTTTCAAAGCCAAAGAGCCAGCGCTGTCTGAAGACGTCTCCGTGGTCATGTGGCCGGCATGACTAAACTACTTGCATTTTTACATGCTTTCGAACTGCTAGATTGGCAGAAGCTGGGACAAGTTACGGGGCGCTAGGGATTCGAACTGCCGAACTGCTGACCTTTCTGATCAACAAGCATAGCGTCTTAGTCCCTGAGCCACCGCATCCCTATACTTCTTTCTACTATAGAAAGAAGCAAAACAAAACAAAATATGAATTAATTGGAAATTGATTTGGTTCTTCTGCAGTTAGATATGCTAGTATTGATTGTTTACGATTTTGGTTGGTAATTTTTGTAAGCTGTTTAAGAAAAGTTATCAAGCCATGGTATATAAACAAGAAATAGTATAAGTGGTAAGACCTCTTGGGCTGAAAGAAAAGGATTGAGGATTGAGTGTGTGATTTTTATATTATGAATGGTTGTATTCAACTTTTTATCTTTGCAATGTTTAACTCTGTATGTTTCTGAACAGTCATTTCTTTTTCACTTAGTTCTGTTGTTTGAAGGCCAATGTCCCCATTGCTTACTCCTGTCTGCATTGACACAATGTAATTCGTTTTTTGGTTTAGCTTGATATGTTTATAGGACACAGTTTATTACTTAACTGTAAGTGAAGAACAATTGTTCTTTCAGCAAATCATGCTTAAAATAAACGATGGCTTGGTACAGTGTGAGATGTTATCTGTTGAAAGGAAGGCCGATTTACTTCCCTCACTCACTGGAAGGAGACAATATCAGTTTTCAGTGTGTCACTTTCAAAGACCAAATACCTTAATGTGCACATGTTTTTTTTTTTAATTTCAGGAACCTGAAATGTCAGAAGAAAAAAACAAAAGTGAGGCAACGGCTGCTGCCCCAAGGAGTGTTGTAGAATTTGCCAGCTCTTCCCCAGCCCCAAAGAGAGTCCGGGAGGATAACAGCCATGCGCCTCTCATTATTCCTGTGTCTGTGCCAGTGAAGAAGCTGGATGCTCAAGATATCACCAGGGAAAGGGGCGAGGATGGGAAGCAGCAGCGGTTCCTGGTTAATGATCATGGGATTGCAGACAGCAAGCCTTCTGTGATTGTCACTCGGAGGAGGTCCAATCGTAATTTGAATATGGACTCATCAGCTCAGGTAGATTTGGGACCTAGAGATGTTAATCTTCCTGTATACATTTCCCTTTATGTCAACAGTCAGCCTTCCCAAGGCAATTATCTCTTAGTCTTAGAAAACAGGATGAGTGCTTTAACAGTGGAGCCATTTACTAAAGAGGTTGGTGGGCTGCTCCTCACTGAATGTGTACAGGTGGCAACTGAACATCTGGCTGCCATAGACAGTTTGCTTTGGTTTCATATGGGACTTGAAGAGGTTGGGCTCACTAGCCTAAATTCTTCTTTTTAGCTCTATAGTTCCATGAACATGAAACCTACTAGCAACTTACTCAGAGAGTCTCAGGCTGTAGACAATTATTTTGACCTGGTTCAGAAATTGCAATAGATTTTTATTGCTGTGCAATATTTAATATTCAAAGATGGGTTGACTCAGTGACCAATTTGTTCCTCCAGTTCTTTCCTGGAGGGGGAAAAAGGTAAACAAGGAAGGACTAAAGAGTGTTCTCTTTGAGGACCAAAGCTGTATGTATTGGACAGTTTGCATTGAAGTAATACGTGGATTAGGTAAAAGGTTTCTCCCGTCCAGTCATGCCTGACTCTAGGGGGCAGTGTTCCTCTCTGATTCTTAGCCGAGGCAGCCAGCATTGTCCAAATACACTTCCGTGATCATGTGGCCAGCATGACTATAAGCCGAAGCACACAGAATGCTGTTACTTTCCCACCAAAGTGGTACCTATTTATCTACTTGCATTTGCATGTTTTTGGACTGCTTAAGTGGGCAGGAGCTGGGGCAAGAATGGAAGGTTACTATTTCACAGAGCTCGGGTTTCAAACCCAGGCTGTCAGCTTTCCCGTCAACAAGCCCAGCATCTTTAACCGCTGAACCATCATCCCCCCAGTTCTGATAGGAACAACAAACAAAATGCCAGCATATTTTGGCTGCTTGGTTTTACATCTCCCTGTGCCTGAAATACAGTCTTTCATACACAGTCCTCATAGTCCATGTCCATAATGGCTTATTTTTATTATTTTATTTTCATTTATTTTATTTTTATCCCACCTTAACTAAGCAGGGCAGAGGAAAGAGAAAATCCTCTTCCTTTCCCTTTGCGATCCCTAATCAATTGCACAGAGGAACATGAGGACAGTTCATTGTTTCAGAGATGCAGAGAAGGTTTTGAGACATAAAATATTTTCCTTTATGAGAGACGAAGTGTATTTCTTTTTTTATATACCTTTACATAGCACGAAGGCACCGCTGCAAAAGAAGTGGATGGTTTTGCACAGAAGCCAAAGCAACGACCAAGACCAGAGCCTCTTTTCATACCCCCCAAAGCCGGCACCTTCATTGCTCCACCAGTCTATTCCAATATCACACCGTACCAGAGCCACTTGCGTTCACCTGTCCGTCTAGCTGATCATCCTTCTGATAGGAACTTTGAGCTACCTCCTTATACGCCCCCTCCCATTCTCAGCCCAGTGCGAGAGGGCTCAGGACTATATTTCCATGCTTTCCTTTCTGCTACTGGCAGTGCAGTTCCACCTCCAATAACTCCAAAAGCTGCACACAGGACCCTACTGAGATCTAGTAAGTTTCTGGACAATGTTCTTGGTGGGTTGGGATGGGAGGATTTCCAGGAATTGATAACAGCTGACAGTTGTAGATAATACTCATAAATTGGGAAGTTTGTTCAGGCTGAAGTATCTTGGATTCTGCTGAGCTAGGGTCTCATAATAACATTCTCCAGTTACATAACAATTCTCAGAACAATTGCCTGGGAATTGTGGGCATTGCCAATGAATCTGGAGGGTGCCAGGTTGGAGAAGATTTGTTTATACCATGGTAATTATGTACAGTCTATAATCAAAAGTTTGACCTCAATAAATAATGTCTTTAAGTTGCTATCTTGTCTTATGTATTGAGATGACAGTTTTATATATAACTTAGTGCATCGTCATCAGTCTTTTAGATAGATTGGAATATATATTTAATTAAATATATATATTTTTTGTAGACAGTACAGAAGCCACCCCTCCTGTCCTCTCAGTAATGGGAGAGTGCACTCCTGTCAGCATTGAACCGTAAGTATTCAATTGGAAAAATATAGAGCACCATTATTCAGTGACAGAGTTGTGTTCTTGGTCATACGATAAGTCTTTTCCCTAACTTAATCCCTGAACACTTTAGCTTCTGTTAGCCCAGGAAGGAAGGAAGATGCTCTAGTCGGGTAGTCTTACCAGCTCAGGTGAAGAGGGAAGGAAGGATGAACCCTGCTTAATTGCAACTTTCAATAGTTTCAGGCAATGTGGCCCATGTTGAGGATGCTGAAAGTTCCAGTATATCCGTTGGAAAATCACTTACTCCCTACTCATAATGTAAATTTATATATACGTGTGTGTATGAAGGGGCCAGAATTGTATGGCAAGAATGACTCTTCCTGGTGTACTGCTTCCCAGACTGTACCTTCCTACCCAAGGCAATCTGATCCTTAGGCCAAAAATGGTTTTTCCTTCACTATTGTATCTTGAGACAGGTTTTACTAAAGACCTTCATTTGTGGAACTATTAATATTCATCAGAAAGGAGAAGCAGGCAAAATAAAAATCACTGTTTCCTGCTAGTTCATAACACCGGTTCAAAGTAGAGACACTTCCAAATATATGTGCATAAGTCCCAAAGGTGCTTTTTCGAAAAGCAACTGGATTTCGTTTTGCTTCTCATCCAAGAATCTTCTTCAGTTCTGAAGCCAGAACTGAAGAAGCTTCTTAAATGAGAAGCGAAACATCTTCAAGGGAAAAACAAAGTCCACTTGCTTTTGGAAAATTACCTTTGGGACAACCATGACCTGGGTGACAGAATCTCCATAGACATATGTGGATAAGAATTGCTACCTTGAAGATTTTCTTTTTAAAAAGACATTATATTTAGTGTTCTTAATTAAGCATATAATTATATACCTGTTAAAATGTCTTACCTTTGACCTGATGCAAAGGGCTTTGAGTAGAGGGAATGACTAAGCCCAGTATTTTTTCTCTTGGTTTCCTACAGAAATGTATAAGTGATTGAGCAACAATGTAGAATGAATGAAGGCTTTATTAGGAACATAGGCATCTATGACAGGGTGAGAATAGGGAGTGACACAAGATGTCATGATACAAACCCCACAATGTGCATTATTTCTATCTGAAGTTGCGATGTGTGTTCATGTTGTCATCTTGACATAATTGCAGTTTGTTGCAGGAGCCTATGATTAGGAGCCTTACTTCTGGTCCAACAACAGTATCTGTAGATAGAAACTGTACTTATAAACACCACAGCTGATCTTCCTTAGAGTCTTGGAAAAGAAATCCAAACCCTTTCAAGACTTAAAAGAATCACTTTCATAAGCGAAACACACCCTGAATAATTCCAGGGTAATGTTAATATTTGTGACTAAGCCAGTTTCCAGACTAATAAGATTTATCCACTACTTCTTCAAAATAACCTAGGGATTCAACATGCATTATGCCCAGTTGTGATATCATTTAGCCACAGTGGTTTGTAGATGGCAGATTGCAATCCTGCTACAAATGCATTTTGAATATACATCTATATAGCATAAGCAAACACACTCATACATTCATTTTTTATATCTGTTGAGGAAATTGTTTAAATGTGCATGTGTTGCTTATTCCTCTTGTTCTAGCAAGGGGGTTGCTCTCTGACTTTTACTCTGAATTAGGTTATGGTGATATCAGGTCCATGAAATAAATGGAACAGTTTAGCAATGATTTAAACTTCAGGCACTAGAGTTGAAGTTAAGTCTGATATGAAGATTTAACAAGCAGCCCAGTCTTGGACTGTTCCCTTCATTTTTCCATAATTATCACGTAGCATTTTAATAACATATTTAGCAATTATCACATAGCAGTTGTATAGAATGATAAAAGCATATGTGAAGAAATTAGCCATATTTGGGTGTTCTTATATGTAAGTAAACAGATTACAGCTGTTTTCTTTATTGAAAGCTTCTGAATTTTTTTCCTATTTTTAAACTCTTTCTCCTAATTAGCATATGTTGGCTTGCTAAGAGCATAAAAGAAGAATCTTTTATTTTGAGGCAGTAGAAACGGTTGAAGTAGATCTGGGAACAGATTATTATTATCTATTTCACATCATGGTCACCCGTGAAAGTGTTCTTTGTTTCAGATAAGCAGGCTGTGCTTTGGTGTATCACTTTGTTGATGTTCTTTTATTGTTCAAGGCGGATCAATGTGGGGTCTCGGTTTCAAGCAGAAATCCCACTGCTTCGAGATCGGTCTCTGGCAGCCGCCGATGTGGCCAAGGAGCAGTTGGTGTGGCAGCCATGGGAGGAGCTGGAAAATAATCCAGGAATCCAGGAGAATGGTAAAAAAAAAAGTATATCTGAATGGCCATGAAAACAAGGGAGGGAGGTGATAGAATTTCTAAAAGTCACTGGACAGTCAACCAGGTTGATGGCCTTTGATTCACTGCAGAGGTGGTCCTCAGCGTAAGACCACAATTGAGCCCAAAATTTGTGTTGTTAAGACATTTGTTAAGTGAGTTTTGCCCCATTTTACGACTTTTCTTGCAATGTTTGTTAAGTGAATCACGGCAGTTGTTAAGTTAACAACATGGTTGTTAAGTGAATCTGTTTTCCCCATTGATTTCGCTTGTCAGAAGGTCACAAAAGGCAATTTAATGACTCCTGGACACTGCAACCGTCATAAATATGAGTCAGTTGTCAAGCATCTGAATGACCATGGGGATCCTACAATAGTTGTAAGTGTGAAAAATGGTCATAAATCACTTTTTTTCAGTGATGATGTAATTTTGAATAGTCACTAAATAAACTGTTGCAAGTTGAGGACTACCTGTATTCAGTAAAGCTTGCACGGAGCAAGGAACTCTAAATGGCAAATCATTAAAAGTCAGAGATTTGAGAGTAATTGTAATTGTAATAATTGAAAATTATTCTTTGTCATTTTGAAAAACATTTAAATTTATCAGAAGCACACAAAGTCATCAATTTGACCAGATTATTTTTTAAAAAATTGAGGTCTTCCACTGATAGCTTCTCTTCCTATAGTTCACCTCCCTCCTCAAAGTCTGCTCCAATGTTGAAAGATTCTAATCTAGATGTCTTTTGTATAAAAAGTGTGAACTTGTGATTATGGTTTTGATGATTAGATGGTATGGATTTTAGAAATAAAGAATATTATAACGTAACTTTAAACAGAGGTTAAAATATACCTGCTGTGCAGAATATTAGAAGCCACTTTTCTATTTTTCTTTAACTTTTTTCTTTTCTTGCACTTTTGAACTTGCACTTGCTTTCTTTTTCTCTTTTTTTCCTTACGTTACATTTGTGTTTGTTTTTATCCTCTCTTTAAAAATCTTTGGTTAAAAATTAGACAGACACGGGCAGAATGTTAAATGAGAAAAAAAATCATGCGGTGTCAGATGCTGTCCCAAAATACTAGTAGACAAGTAAAATATTAGCTAAGTTAAACCACAGAAAAGCCATTGGGTCATAAAGATAACTTTAGTACTAAATTCAACATAATGTGATTGGTTTGCTTAATGAGGGGCTGCCTCAAAAAAGGCCATGCTTTTTATTTTTGCACCCTCTTCTCTTTGGTTGTCCCATTTTATTTAATATTTAAGATATTTTCTTCTTTATTTCCACTGCTTATCCAGTAAGGGATGAAAATGAGCTGCGGGCATCTTTCTCTCATAAAGTGGAAGTATTCTTCCCCCGAATGGGATGGGATGGGATGGATATGACAATATCATAGTAAAAACCAGGGCATCAAGATTAATCCCTGTTACTGGAAAACATGAAGGTGGATATTAACTATTTTGGTCCTCTATGGAACATTGGTATCCATCAACATAAGCCAGCATGGCTAGTGGTCAGAAGTGATGTAGAAACTAGGATGTAGAAACTAGGATGTGAAGACAGTAGGTTCCCAGTTAATGGTTGGTGAGAACCATTAATCACAAAATGATGGGAAGCTTGTCTATGTACATCAGCCAAATTGTACATATATTTGCTGGTTTTCTTTTTAAATGGATGTTGTTAATTTCATCTATCTATTTCATAACACTGTGGAACTTTCTTTTAAATATGACAGTAGACAACCTGGTAACAGCTGCATGTTCAAGCATATTTCCTGGAGGTGGTACCAATCAAGAGCTGGCATTTCACTGCTTACATGAAGCAAAAGGAGACATTGTGGTAAGACTCCAGCAATTTCTGATTGAACTACAAAGTTTGCTGATAAATATAAAATTCTGATGTCTAGCAAGGACTTAACATTATTATATAGCCCAGCTATATAATACACTTTCATAAGCAGTTTTACTACTCTGTAGTTAATATATTCATGATAACGCTTTCTATCTTTTATCTGTATCTGGGTCAAATCAAGAGCTGTTGGCGGCTCTTCTTGATAGCCTCTTTCATTTTCCTTCTGTTGTTCATGATGCACTTGCCTAGAGCCAATCATAGACTTGCTATTGGTAGTCCCAAAGGTGCTTTTTCAAAAGGCAACTGGACTTTGTTTTTCCCTGAAGATATTTCGCTTTTCATCCAAGAAGCTTCTTCAGTTTGAAGACTTTCAGCTCTATAAACATTTGCTCTTGGTAGGTCAGCCTTCCCAACTTGGCACTCTCTAGTATTCCTAGCCAGCACATGTAACAGGTTGGGGAAAGTTGTTTTAAGCTAACATTGCAGGGGATATTACCAAAGCTACACTTTGCTTGACACTTTAAAAAAAAAAACAAATGATAATTGGTTGGGTTTATTTAACATGCAAAGCCAAAAAGAGCTGAGGTGATGCAGTGGTTAGAGTGCAGTACTGCAGGCTACTTCTGCTGATTGCTGGCTGCCTGCAATTTGGCAGTTGGAATCTCACTAGGCTCAAGGTTGACCCATTCTTCCGAGGTCGGTAAAATAAGGACCTAGATTGTTGGGGGCAATATGCTGACTTGTAAACTGCTTAGAGAGGGCTGTAAAACACTATGAAGTGGTATATAAGTCTAGGTGAAATTGCTATTTGCTATATTTATTAACTGCAGTGATTTGGTTCATAGTATAAGCAGAACTGCATAAATGACATTATGGCTTAGCTGTCTTACCCATCCCCTGCTAGAGCAGATATTTACGTTCAGAATGTCTCCCGTCCACTACTACTACTACCTCCATTATAGGACTGGAAAACCTTGCATCTGAAATCCTGAGGCGCTGCAGTCAGTCAGCATGGACAAAATTCAGGTTATCTGTTAGCTTCTAAGGTCTGACTGTCTAATGCTGGCATGGGATTGGTGTCACCTTGGAGAAACTGAACTATAAAATCCGTCTGTGTAATACAACTGTTTAACTTGAAATAATTAAGGTAGCATAGACAGCTTTTGATAATATTCTCAGAGAGAAAAACAGATGTTGGAAATCTGTGGCTACATTGTGCTTGACTGTTGATTTCCTGGAATGCCTAGAATAATTTTGGCATTTATTTATGTTCTTGCTGTGAAATACTATTTACTTGGGCATGATTAAACATGGGCGTTAACTGACTCTGCAAAGAATGATGATTTAAGGACTCTACAGAGTTCTTGGTTGGTTTTTTTATTGTTATTGTTAGGCACAAGTTAGCAGGCATCATTATCAAATGAGGTACGTAGTTTAGGAATAGACATTTAATTCTTTTTTACATAGAAGTTTAAACTAAACCTCAAGAGGAATAAAAGGGAGTAAATGAAATCCTGTACATAAGACTTATTATAGGAATGCATTTGGATGACACTAAGGCATAGTTTTCTTAGAACATCATTATATTTAGCAATCATTACTTCACCCCAAAAGTTACCAAGGAGATTACAGGTGGTAATGACCAATTATTCAGCAGCCGTTCAGTCTTGTAATGGTGCTGAATGAGGGGCACAAATCCTCGTAATTGTGGTTATCGCAACACCCCTGTGATCGTTTCATTTCAACCGAGCTGTTTGATGTCTGGTTCACAATTATAACATTGTGATTATGACATCACGCGATCCCAATTTCTGACAGCTTCTCACATGCAGAATCAAGGAAATTGGAAGTGGCAATCACATGGAATCCTCACATAATGAATGTATGATCCTTATGGAACATGAGCAACCGGGACCACCAGAACTGCTGTCACTAAGCGATGAATTGTTGTGATGTTGCACTTTTTGACTCTGTCACTTAGCAATGGCAATTATGGTTTCATTTGCCATTATAACCAAAAACTATCAGTAAAATCATTCAATTCTTGAGTTTAACCACAACTGAGCCAATTATTCCAACCGGCTAGAGCAGGGGTCGGCAACCTTAAATACTCAAAGAGCCACCAAAGTCATAACCGGAAGCCCCCTGTTCAATTCTGGAGCCGACCAGAAGTCCGGTTCCCCCCCCCCGCCCCATAGAATCTCCTAGTGCAGCGTCCTTTTTCCTCTACCTGTTCTAACCAAAAGCCCTATCAATTGAGCCAATCGATGAC